TTCGCGCAAAAAGCGGTACTTCATCCTACTGCGCCGCTATATGATTCACGGGAGCATGTAAGTTGGCCCTTCATTCTACAACTCCGCTCCCCGGACTTGGAGCTACTATTGCTATCACTTGAAACAGGTCGCTTACTCATGTCACTAGACTCTGAAGCCTGCTGCCGTTGACGCTCTCCGACGAATATTCCGACTATGTGACACAAACAAGGACGGAGTACTCGATACTCATGAGCTTAACGAATTTCAGGTATGTGCTTGTCTGCTCCTTTACCTATATAAGTTACAAATACACCTTTAAGCAAACCTGCTTCAAAGCTCCACTCCAAGATCAAGAAGTCGAGGGAATCAAGTCCATCCTTCGCGGCCATGACCCCAGCATGCTTCGTCCCATTCCTTCCTCCCCTCATTCATCGCCCCGTGATTCTCCCCCTGGTACACCTCCTATCGAGGAAGGTGTCACGGAAGATGGATTTTTGTACCTTCACACCGAATTTATAAGACGTGCCAGGGTAGAAACAACTTGGGTCGTTTTAAGGCAATTCGGATATGCAGAAGATTTAAGGCTAACAGAGGGATGGCTGGCACCCAAGTAGGTTAAATGTTCTCATCTCAGGTACTCAACCTTACGTTCTGCTTTTAGATTTGATGTCCCTCAGGATTGTTCTGTCGAACTCAGCCCTCAGGGATACCAGTTCTTCACTGACATTTTCCAAATCTTCGATAAGGTATGTACCTAGATAACCCTAGACAAATGACTTTGACTTATGATAATTTTCCATATTAGGACCAAGATGGCGCTCTTCGACCGGAAGAACTTGACAACTTGTTCAACACTTCTCCAGGGAATCCATGGGTTGCAGACGATGACGAAGGTGTAGATGGAACCATCACCTTGCAACACTGGCTGGCAAAATGGAGGTATGTTAATAATAATTGCTCTCGCCTCGTAAAACCACCCAAAACGCTCTCGTAGTATGACCACCCTATTGGACCACAAGAAGACACTAGCGTATCTTGCCTACCTCGGTTACAACGCAGGCCCAACTACCTCCGCTCTCAAACTCACGAAACCGCGACGAGCTGAACGCCGCAAAGGTCGAGTCACACGCAATGTATTTTTGTGTTACGTCGTTGGTGCTGCCGGGTCGGGAAAGTCTTCCATCCTGAACTGCTTCAGGGAGCTAGGTGGCGGAGGTGCTGGAGGCAATATTACCGGAAAGGAGAACACCAAGGGGAAGGGGAAGGGTGGACTGGGTGAAATTGGGCCCTACAGACCAACGGAAAAAGTATTGAGTGTTGTAGGAGCGGTCGAGCTGAGAGGCGCTGAAAAGTACCTAGTTGTGAGTTGTCTTACTTATACGTCTTGCTCCCCTAAATCACTAAATATGTGATTTGCAGATGCGAGAGTTCGGGTCAAAGAGCGAGGCGGACATGCTTAGGGACGCAAAAATCATGGATCTAGTGGACGTAATCATATACGTGCATGACTCGAGCGATACAAATTCGTTTTCATATATCAGTAATCTAAGAGTGAGCACCACAATTAACGCAAGACAATATTATCTTGAACCTGATGTATTTTGCAAACTGCAGCAACAATACAGCTTAGATCACATTCCCAGCATGTTCGTAGCGACAAAATCGGACCTGGACCTGGCGCAACAAGTAAGCAAAATACAGCAACTTATCCAAAGAGACGAGGCTAACTTGATAGATAGCGACACGAGGTTCAGCCTGATGTCTATTGCCGGCGACTGGGTCTTCAAGGCCCGTATGCAGTCAGTATCAAGAACTCTCAAATTGCCAACTTATTCCCGGAGATTGTCTCCACCGCAATAAATCCGTACGTAAATGCGCGCTGACGAAAAATTATATACGGATATTGATTGTCTGACTAGGCTAAGCGCAATTCCTGGAGGAGCAGAACGAGCTTCCGCCACACTAGCACGACGAAAAGTGGCACTTGGCCTCACTGTAACATTAGCTGGACTCATGGTCGCCTACCGGGCTTTTTTGCGGCCCATCAGCTATGGGAGTGGGTGGTGGTCAAATTGGATGGGCTGGCTTGTGGGTGGGACGATGCGCAGAGAGCTTTAACAGGCGTGCTGCCCTGGCATCTGAATCGCATTGCAGACTTGACTGTGTAGTATGTGATAATTTTTTCTCTCTTCCGGACATCTGTTAGATGCGTAGCCTCTGCTGTGAAATAGGAGTGTAGAACAAGCGGGATAAGTTCTGTGGGTACTTTGGGACATACGGTCTGAGCAAAATGGCTGCATCAGGGATCGAACCTGAGACCCTCTGCGTAATTCACTGTGTGGTGTAAAGCAGATATCATAACCACTAGACTATGCAACCCTTATTGGTCGAAACTCAGCTGCCGTTGTTCAGCACTTAATGCGGAGGCGCACAATCCAAGCTTGACATTAACACTGTAACAAAACATCTACATAACAAAGGCTGCTGTGAATGAAAAGCTTCCGCGAGTGTTGAGTCAAACTGCTCTTTGGGAATACTCATTACATATCGGTGAGGTAGAGGAGTCGTGCCTAAAACGAACAAACACCACGCCTGGTTACGTTCACATCTCAATCATTAGCCCCGGTCAAAGTTGGGGGCGCAGATATCGCAGATAGCGCAGATCGTGAAGAAAGCTCAGATGCACCTGATGAGTAAGCTATCGCGGGTCCAGGCCCCTATACACATAAGTACATACCCGCGTCCGCCGCCACTTTACCCCCTCATCTGACCCCCCAGCGCTACCGGAGTACTTGTACGCGATGTTTAGCACTCTTATAGAATGTAAAATAAGTCTTATTCCCCGTTTCTACGCGTATTACAAGTGGGGTCAATGCGCTGATTTAAGCGGAACCCCTGCCGCCCCTGATTGCCCCTATCTGATATACAATCTCTGTGAAATCTGCGATTTAGGCCACAGATCGCGGCCAACTTTGACTAAGGCTAATATTTGGTAATACATTTCTACTTAACACTGTGTAGAACAAACAAGCGGCTAGTCTACAGTATATAGTGTACCTTCTTCAACCATAAGGCGCCAAATCTCAATGTAAAGCGGTATAATCTCCTCTACCATCGGCTCCTTCGCTCTCCTCGTCTGGGCTCTTTTCAAAAGGTAGTAACAAAACACAGACAACCACGAAAGCGAGAAGGCATATAGAAGTGTAAACCGGAAGCGCCGCAGACGACTCTATTAGGATACCACCTAGAATAGGAGCAATCATGCCTCCCCTATACGACAATAAGCCGAGTTGTTTCTGTCCACACTCTTAGGTACTTACACTCGATTTAAGGCCGATGCTATTCCGCATGCAGTACCACGGACTAGTGCAACTAAGTCAATTATATAGATGCTTCGAGTAAGCTTGGGCTCACCTTTGATTTCAAATATTTCCGGTGTCATGCCATACAAAACAGCCCACATAACGGTTGTGGCCAATGACACCCCGATCGTACTCCACATAACACCTAATTTGCTATCCACTTTTATGAAAACAACGCAAAAGGCAATCGTCACAAGCAAGCTGAGTGCGAGAGATTTGCGCCTTCCTAGTGGAGATTCTACCATCCACGCGCCAAGCTAGAAGGCTATTAATATAAGAGTCACTGTGAGGGGCAAGAAGACACACCAAAGCACCCGGGCAACCAGCTAAGCTAAAAACAACAATATCCCATAACGCCTCGAGCCTACTGCTCCCCTCTGATCCTGTCCCACCAAGCCGCTTCTCGAGGAGCTTTGGCAAGTACACGTTGTACATTGTATATGCTAAAGGCCTCTTTTAATAACTGACATGACCCAAAATAACGTATTACCTACCAAAGGATATTCCCCACCATATCAGCCATATCAATGTCGTTGTGAGCCACCACTTTGGTGTAAATAGCATTCCCACTCGATCTAGCCACACCGAAACTGGTCTCCCAACGGCCGGAGGGAGTGTTCGTTCGGCATATATCGAGGACCGCGGGCG